TTTTTCAGGCTGGCTTTGTAGATCGCGAAAAGCCCATTGCAGTGGTTAAACCTTCACATTTCGAGAAGGCTGCAAAGCACGCTTGCCAGTTGAGCATCGAGGATGCTAAGGCTGCCTATCCTCGTGTCCAAGAGGACAACCTTCCTTACCTGTGCATGGATCTCGTGTACCAGTATACTTTGCTAGTAGATGGGTTCGGTATGTACAATTTTCAAACCTAAAAAGAGTTGTTATTCTACTAATTCGACGATCGATACCAATTCATTCTTTTTCATATAATGACAGCTATAGACCCAGATCACGACATCACACTGGTAAAGCAGGTCAAATATGGTGATGCCTTTGTTGAGGCAGCATGGCCGCTCGGTAGTGCCATTGAAGTTGCATCATCTGCATGAGATATAACCCTAGTTTCGTTCTGTCCTGTCGTAGCTACATCAAAGATCCCAAATCAAAGCATGGTAATCCGCAGCAGTGATTTTGCTGGGTGGGATAGTTTCTGACCAAGCTTTCGCCTCACCAAATATCCTGGTGCTTAAGAATCAAGGTCGAGCTGCAGCGAGGGGGGTTCCGAAACCACAATTTTGCTTGCATTAAGATTAATTTGCCTTATGGTTGTAGCTTAATAAAGGGGATGGAGGGCTGCTACAATTTCAAATTTCCACGCTGAACTCTCATTCTTTTTTCCATTTACTTGAATCAAATGTTGCTTTGCCATTCGTGGACCTCTTCATTAGATAATATACACATTGTTCTCTAATTGTTTCATGCTGTATTATCAATAGTGTGTTTGGTATGTTTTGTCTACAAAGAAACGTAAACGATATCATTCTCTTTATTATTCTGTTTCTCATATCATTTTAGGTCTCCTATCTCCCACGTTTATATAGTCAATTCTAAACCAATTCCATACGTTTCCATTATGTTACATGTGATTGAGATCATTCCTAATTTTCTCTGAAGCCTTTCTTAAGCTTTAAGAGACGCATTTTACTTCAATTAATGGTCCCATTTCTCGGGAAAGCTACGATAGATCTTCTAATCACCATCGCGTGTAAACGGTTAAGATTTAAAGGCGACTGAGGATGCGTCCATTCTGATGGTTCCACTTTCAGAGCCGCCATTCCACGTCGCAATCCATGCCATGCTGCCAAGAGAGAGAGAGAGAGAGAGAGAGTTAAGAGAGCCCGCGGCATGTTACATGAACGAGCAGGTCGGCAAGTCAACACAGGGATCATATCATCACCGCCTACCCGTAAACTTTCAAGTCGAGGAGACACCACATATGCCTTTGTGATCCTCCCCATCTCTCTTTTCTATCTACATCATGGATGCTTGCTGAACTCATCTTATCATCCCTCTGGCAGACTATTCTGACTGAGTAGCGGCGTCGAAGATCGATGAGAAAGAACCTGAAAGGATGATTTAGTTAGCATTCGGATCGTATCTTTATATATTTTTTTCATTTCATCTGATTTCTTTGGCATTCCCGTGTTATTAATAATTACCATCAAATAAATATATCAGGAAATCATAGCTCGATTGCAATGGTGTGACTCAAAAGTCACAAGTAGTCTCCAACACGAAACCAACGAGACGTGTAGTTCTCAGCCATTTATGTTTCCTTCTCTAGTAAGATGGAGAACACAACATATCGCGTGCATGAGGCCTCGTGATTCCAAGGAAATGTGATACATATGGCTTCGGTTCAGCAAAGTGAGACCCGTGTCTTTCTTCACGTTCATCCATGAGCATTTCCAGCAAAAAGAGAAATAAGAAAAATGCAGGTCGGCAGAGAAAGGTAAAGAGAGTTCCATTTCTCGAAGAGAACCTGAGGACGTGGTGCGTTCACTTGCCACGATAGCTCGTGCCATCACCGTCGTCCTCTGCTCGATGCAGCCAATTTAGGGATTTCATCATCCTCGCGTCAGTCGTGCGGCCAAAGGCGGATGCACCTGTCGCTTCGAGTGGAATGTGTGCGAGGGTGGAAGACGACGCCTTTGGCTTTTGTCTTCGTTCCTCTTTAATTAGCTTATTGCTTGTAGCTTCTCACGCTGTCCGATCTAATCATCTTTTTATCTTAGAAAATCTTTGAGAAACAGTGATGGATGGATGTCGAGGAGAAATCATAAAGTGACACCTCTTTTGACTCTATCTCATCACTTTTCGTAATTGCATATATATATATATATAAGATATTAAACTCAAGATTTTGATTATAATGATGATAGGAATACTTCTCGATCGAACTCATGTCCGTGTCGGCACAATCTTAACTTGTTGGCCGCTGTAACGCGACTCGAGAGAGAAGAGAAGGGAAGGGAAGGAAACGGAGAGGAGAGCTCGCTTCGTGTTCCTCCTCCTCCTCCTCCTCCTCGACGAAGAAGATAAAGGAGACGACGAGCGTCCAAAAGACTCCTCTGTCTTCCACCTTCCTGACGCAAACGAGAGCTCGACCATGTCGGATCCCGCGTCTCTTCCGCCCGGCTTTCGCTTCCACCCCACCGACGAGGAGCTGATCCTGCACTACCTACGGAACCAGGCGGCCTCCCTGCCGTGTCCCGTGTCCATCATCGCCGAGGTCGACATCTACAAGCTCGATCCATGGGACCTTCCTGGTCGGTAACCTGACGAGCTCCATGCGCGTAGGAAGGTGCGCGTCTTCTTCTTACTTGGTTCTTCTGTGGATTGGTGGCGTAGGCAAAGCGGTGTTTGGGGAGCGCGAGTGGTACTTCTTCAGCCCCAGGGATCGCAAGTACCCCAACGGCGTCCGGCCGAACAGAGCCGCCGCCTCCGGCTACTGGAAGGCGACCGGGACGGATAAGCCCATCCACGACAGCAGGGGGAACGAGCGCATCGGGGTCAAGAAGGCGTTGGTGTTCTACGAGGGAAGGCCTCCCAAGGGGAGCAAGACGAACTGGATCATGCACGAGTACCGCCTCGAAGAAGCTCGGAGGAGCAACTGCTACAAGCTGAAGCACGCCTCCATGAGGGTAACCATGACCTCACCTCTCCCACCATCTCTTCCTGCACTCGATGCTGGCGAGCTATTAAAGGTGCACGTCGATCGCAGTTGGATGACTGGGTCCTCTGCCGGATCTACAAGAAAAAGGGCAACCTGCAACCGGTGCCGCCATCGATGGACGATCGAGAACGACAAGATCCAGCAGACTCTGCCTCGTCCAGCTTTCACGGCATGAATCGAGCTCTGTCCATGGCAGATCTCATGGAGGACTACTCAGCACCGTCACACCTGTTCGCTAACCTGCCGGTGATGCAGGGATCCGAGCTTGGCTTTCTCAGGGCTCAACCGAGGATGGATCATCAGCTCTTACGACCTGGAAACATCGACGGCAGCAGCGATTTCCACTACCAACTCGCTCGACAGAAGAAACCCAGTGATGCGACCATCTACACCGCTGACTTCAGCTCGCTGAGCCAACGATTGCTCGATCTGCCCGGCTCTCATCTGTGATTACATCGAGCGAGACGCAGAAACAGCTTGCATTAGCAATCGACGAGAAGCCATTCTTTATCTCCACAACCACAAGCTTTATGTTGGATCGAAGATATCATGCGATACACATGAAAGTCATAATGTTTCTAAAGAACTATTGTGGTTGAGAATCTTATGGAAGTCTTAACGATGCAAACACCAATTTCGTTTATCTTTTACCCAATAGATTTTATTAGAAAAAGGAAACAAATGTAGAAATAAATTGTTCTTCAAATCAAGTTAACAACATCATATATTTAATATATTAGACGTAGTTATAATTTTACTTATTTCTATTTTTTTCTCTTATAATTGAGCCTATAAATTATTCTATTCCAAAAAAAAAAAAAACTTAGGGATTTTAATTATGCCTTAATCATTCAAACTAATGGACATCAACGAATATTGAATGACGTATTTGCAAAATTATGTATATGCGTTCCTCCTAATTTTCTCATTTTTTGTATTCAAACCTTTAAAAGTGAAGTTTATTATATATACATAAATGATTTTAATATCGCTATTCTTTTAGTTGAAAAGATAAATATGTAAAACCCTTTTTGTTAAAGTCATTTTTGTTCCCTTCAATTTCTTTGGGAATCGAATTCTCTCTCCATTCCATAAGCTATCGTCCGGTGGATGTATTAGTACGGTCACAGCTCAGAGAATACCTTTCACGTATTCCTCTTTTTGAAAGCTTCTTTTGTGGGAGAATATATTTATTTTTATTATCACTGGTACATTATCGCTAATCATTTAATATATTATAAATGTTTAAAGAGGAAGGAAAAGATAAAACTTTCTTCTTATCGATTGAGTATAAAAATTCAACTTTAACAAAAAAAATATATAGAGAATTATTCATATCTACGTTCGTATATCTTGGATTACTAACTGGAACATCAGAATGATCGGATTATAAAACATTTTCTTATCTTAGTCTTCGTACTAACTGACATTTAATTCACGTGAATTGGAAGTTGTTTAAGAGAATTGGAAGTCCACGTGAAAGTTTCACGACATTTAATTCATCGTACGTGTCATAATTGACATGCTTCATGTTCTATTTATATTCGTGTTATATGTTGTCGACCTTTGTTCCTAATACCAATAGTGGTGTATAAATGTCTTGGGTTGGAAATTGTCTCCGACATTCTTTAGAAAAGTTATAATATTTTGATTTAGTTTCGACTCAAATAATTATAATATTTCGGATTAATCTCATTAAAAATGAAAGTTTGACTCGAGTAATTTAAATTTAGGTATTTTGCACTCATAATTAAGCTTTCAGAACTTCATAAGTTAGTTATCTCGTCAAGTTTGATTATAATAAATAATATCAAAGTTGACTTAGTGTTAGATATCGTAAGAAAAGATGGTGTCTGAAACTACCGTAGGAGTGTGATAAATCTTGTCGATATTATTAGTTGTTGCAATTGGAATGTGCATCAATGCCCGAAGGTATATATATATAGAGAGAGAGAGAAAGAAATCGTCTTTACGTCACATTTCAATCGCAAAGAATGAAGGTGGTGGTAAAGAATGAAGGGACAGTGATGGCTTTAAAATTCCCTATCCTTCCTTTAGTAGAATCATGCATTATTGGAAGAATGAATGAGGATGAGTCAATCTTTTCCCTTTTTCTTTTCTTTATGTCAAGAGATTGCCAATTGCATCGAAGACAAAACTTGGCGTCACGATTACATTCGTTTGCATCTCTCGCTTTTTTGTCTCAACCGTCCATTTATTTTAAGGAAAAAATAACACAAAAATATAATTAAAATGAAAGACGATATTTGATCCCAATATCTTATTATCAAAAGTTTTTTTATGGGATCGAGCTAATTGACATCTTCAATATTTATTATTTTGTAATATTCACTGCACATAATTTGTAACTCAATGATCTAAAAATAATAATAATGTAAAGTGGATCTGAACAGGTGCGAGCCATGGGATCTTCCGAGTAGGCTTCTTCCTATTGCTTTGATGTTCTGTCGCTCGAATCCCAGTTTGGAGGTCCGAGTCGTTGAGCTTTCCATGGGGTTCTGCTGTTGTTTGTGCAGGCAAGGCAAAGATGGGAGAGAAGGAGTGGTACTTCTTCTGCCGGAGGGACAGGAAGTACCCAACCGGAGCTGGGTTTTGGAAGGCCACAGGAAAAGACAAGGAGGTCTTCAGGGGGAGAGGAGTCCTCGTTGGCATGAAGAAGACCCTTGTGTTCTACAGAGGAAGGGCACCCAAGGGAGAGAAGACAAACTGGGTGATGCACGAGTACAGGCTTGAAGGCACTTCAATGTCGATCCCCGATCTCCCCAAGTCTGCAAAGGCACGTACTGTTCTTCTCTATCGATGAACTATCGTTAGTTACTGTCCTACCGTTGTACCTCTCTGTAAGGAGAATCTAAACCCGATGGTAGCAGGACGAATGGGTTGTGTGTAGGGTCTTCCACAAGGATACAGGACACAGTAAGACCCACTGCCGAGCTTGGAAAGCAACTCTTTGTCAGATGACTTATTGGATGCAGAAATAATAAAAACGATAAGAACATCATATTTAAATATGATGGTTTGATTAATTGACCTATATCCACGGACAAAGGAGGAACAAAATACTAACATCCATGGACGAAAAAGGAACAAAATACTACTATAAAAGGGATAATTACAAATGCTTTAGGAAGATGTTCTTAGGTCAAAAAATACGAAACTACTAAACAAGAAAAGCCTAAAGCAAATAATTAGGTTTTCTTATGGTGCATCTGACTTCAAAGCTTAGACCCTTATTTATAGTTTAAAAAGGAGATACCAAACTTGATTTTCCTAATGTGGGACTATGTGAGACTTGCCAAACTAACAAATCTCTACCTTGGCATGTCCTAACAAAACTTGCTCCATCTTCTTCATAAAAGCCCCAACGGGCAATCACCAACAATGAACACCAACCAATTTCAAGCACTGCTTGAACTTTCTTACCCCAAGGCAGCTTCATAAGATCCCAAGTTCTATTCTGATGGAGAGATTTAATTTCTTCATTCATCGCAATCAACCACTTAGCGGAATTATCACAAGAAACTGCATCTGAGTATGTAGTAGGCTCATCAACTTCACTTGTTTCTTCTACAACAGACAAAACATATGCAACCAAATTTACATATCTTTGTGATGGTCGAATATCTCTCCGTGGTCTATCCTTGGCTATGGAATATTGCTCTTCATCTAGATCATCTTCTTTAGTAGACTCAGGACCATCTACTGACATTTTTTGAGTAGAAGAGTTCGACTTAAAAGAATCTGAACTACCAATCTCAAGCTCTACCTGCTTCTGCACACTTTCATTTGTACAATTAATAGATTCCTCTTTGGAAGATCACATAGATAATTCATCAAAAAGTAACATTTCTACTGATTATAAATTTTCGGGATTTTGGATCAGAACACCATAATATTTATCCTTTCACCCCTAAAGCATACCCAAGGAAAATGCACTTTTTCGCTCGAGGCTCTAATTTTTCTTCATTTATATGCATGTATGCTGGACATCCAAAAAATTTTAAATCAGAGTAATCAACAGAAGTACCTGACCAAACTTCCTCCAGAATTTTAAAGTTAAGTGCTGCAGAAGGAGCTCGGTTGACAACGTAACAGGCCATATTAATCGCCTCTGCCCAAAAGTCCTTTGTTAACCCTGCATTTGAGATCATACACCTTGCTCTCTCCAAGAGTGTTCTGTTCATACGTTCGGCCATACCATTTTGCTGAGGCGTCATCCTAACAGTGCGATATCAAACAATTCCTTCATTTTTATAAAATTCATCAAAGTCACCTTCACAAAATTTCATGTCATTATCTGTTCGAAGCCGCTTAATCTATTTATCCGTTTGCTTCTCAATCAAAGTCTTTCATTGTTTAAAGGTTAGAAAAACATCATTTTTATACTTCAGAAAATAAATCTAAACTTTCCTGAAATAATCGTCAATGAAAGTCAACATATACCTGACACCACCCTTAGACTGAACATGAGCTGGATCCCAAAAGTATGAATGAATATAGTTAAGAGTACCTTTTGTTTTGTGAACTGCTAGAGAATTGAAGCTAACTCTTTTCTGCTTTATAAAAATGTAATGTTCACAAAAATACAGTGGCCTAGTACTCTGTCCGCCAAAAATACCCTTTTTGCTCAATATGCTCAAATATTTTTCACTCATATGACCCAAACGCATATGCCATAATTTGGTGATGTCAGAATCAGACAATGATGATGACGAGACTGCAACTGAGCCTGTGACAATAGTTCCCTGCAAAATATATAAGCTACCAAACCTACAAGCTTTCATAACAACAAGGGCACTTCTAGAAACTTTCATAACTCTACTTTCAGCTGCGTATTTACACCCAAGAGCCTCTAGAGTGCTTAAAGAGATGAGATTCTTTTTTAAATCAAGAACATGTCTAACATTAGTGAGCGTCATCACAATACCATCATGCATTTTAATTCGGATTGTGCCTTTACCAATAACATCACACACGATATTAAAACAATTCGACAATTACAAGATTCATATGTGGAAGACAAATCTCTATTATGACACATGTAATAAGAACAACCCGAATCTAAATCCATTCATTTTTAGACCTCGTCCTGTCATCAGTAGCAAAGAAAATATTTCCAACATTCTCATCAGTTGCTACACTAGCTTCAGCGGACTCAGTAGTTTTCTCGATATTTTTTTCCTTTTGCTTTAATTTATTTTTCAATTTAAAGCAATCAACCTTAATGTGCCCTATTTTATGAAAATATATGTACTCCAAATTTCTATGTCTGAATTTAGATCTAGATTTAGATCTACTACTATCAAATTCTCTTTTCTCCATTCCACCCTTGACAATCAGACATTCGGTCTGATTCCCTCTACTTTCCCTAGTGATATCCTTGTCTATCTGCTCCTTAGATTTTAGTGCAGATTTAATTTCCTGATACAAAATTATTTCTTTTCCATAAATCATAGTATCACGGAAATACTTAAAGGATTGGGGAAGAGAACAGAAAAGTAATAGGGTTTATCCTCGTCATCAATTTTCGCATCTATATTCTCTAAATCCATAACTAAGGAATCAAATTTATCAAGATATGGGAGCATAGATGTACCTTCAATCATCCGACGTATATACAAACTCTGCT